GCGAAAGTGCTTGAAGCACTTTGAGGACTTGAAAGCCCTGTGCTTCAAGCCCTTTTATAGATTTGTAATTGGGGCTTGCAAAGTCAATTACTTTAGAAAAGTGCTTGGTAATTTGTAATTTAAAAAAGTAATTCAAGCCCTTTCAATGAGCTTCAATTACTTTTAGAGGGCTTGAAGCACTTTTGGGAGCTTGAAGCCCTTTGAAAGGGCTTGAAGCACTTTAAGAGGGCTTGAAGCACTTTTGGGAGCTTGAAGCACTTTGAAAGGGCTTGAAGCACTTTAAAAGGGCTTGAAGCACTTTAAAAGGGCTTGAAGCACTTTGAAAGGAATTTGAATTGACCATCATTCAACCTATCCCCCACTTAAACATTTTCGATCGTGTTTTGTCCCTTAATTTTTTTTTCTATTATTTGAACTTGAACCGTCTTATGTCTTTTCTCTCTTAACAATGAAGGTTTTGAGCTTAGAATGGAATTAAAAAAAAAAAATGAATGAACTTATTATTCAAATAAATAAATAATTTATAGGTACCCTATTTAACTTTATCACTGGATTTTTTTCACGTTTCCCCATTGAACATTTTGAAAACCTTAAAATTGAATTATCATGTAGTACCCCAACTACCCCAAGTACCCCAGAACTACATCTCAAAAAAAAACATACTACTGCTACGTTGTGGAATGTGAAGTTCGTCTTTACTATACCAATTCTGTGTGATGAGTGTACGCGGTAACTTATGCCACTTTGAGAATTTTATTACAAATTCAAAGTGCTTTAGGCACATTTAAAGAGCTTCAAGCACATTTAAAGAGCTTGAAGCACATTTAAAGAGCTTGAAGCACAGTTAAAGAGCTTGAAGCCCTTTTCAAGGCACCCCAAGCTCTTTTGATGTGCTTCAAGGACTTTTCAAATCACTTTGAGGGCTTTGTGCTTGTCAAGCCCAAAGCACTTTGAGGGCTTTGTGCTTGTGAAGCACTTTTGAAAATAAAAAGGAATTTGTGCTTGAAATTGAAGCACTTTGATAGAGGGCTTAGGGCTTAGTGCTTCAAGCCCTTTTACTGAGGGCTTTGCCCAGCTCTGCCACCTGTATACTATCTCTGAGCTTGTAATAAAATGTTACAATCAAAAGCCTTAATTGTACTTAAATAACTCTTTTATAGAGCCCTACTACATTAGCTTACAATATTTTTAACCGAAACTCCTACACGTCAAAACATTACAATTTTTAAAACTACCAATTCTATAAGCGTATAGAAACAACTGATTACGCTTACTGCCAAATTTGTACAAAGCTCAGCCAGAGTGAATACTATTACAAATAATCATCAAACATGTTAATTAATTCTTTACGATCTACACTCAGACATAACAATACTATCTCAATTCAATATTATACATTTTATTTAATTTCTTAGAGTTCAAAATATTTAAATAGGTATAATCATAATCATTAATTTAATGTTCATTAATTCTCTTCATTAGACAGAGCTCACTGATTCAATAGCCATTAAAACTTCCTATTTATACTAAACAAAACAAAAAAAAAAGTATTCAAAAGTTCACTCAAGTTAATAACATATTTGTGAAGTCCCATTGTCAATTCACTCACTTCATAGTCATTTTAACATTGATGAAGTCAAAATAAACATGTCACTAGAGTACTTACATTCCGTCCCTAAATCACTAAACTTTTCTAAATTAATTCTTTTGATTATTTAGAGCTCGCACATAATGTTGAACTAATTAATGTTCTTTCTCCATGACTTCTTTACTTTTTTTAAAAGATCCTTTTTAGCGCGTTTTTCCGAGGCAACAAAATAAAGAAAACTCTTCGCGAATTTTATCCGGACTGACTCAATTATCTTATTGTAGACTGAAGACTCAAGACTCTAAGCTGGACTGATATCTGAACTGATTCTAAAAATCTGAAACCGCTGTTTTTATATTTTTCGATCCCCCAAAAAATTTCGGGTCATGTACATTCATTACCCTTCCTCTTTTCTAAGAAATATATTTATTTGTCTAAAATCGTATATGTAGCAATTTCCTGGCTTATCGAGGTCAATAGATTTGAAAGAATTTGAAAGACACCTAATTCAAAGAAAAGCCGCTCTCGTGCCGGCCGTAAATCATGATTTTATTATAATTCTGTCACTTTGGGACCCAATCTAATAACCTAACCTCGTATTTTAATATTTTTATGGATTTGATTTATGATGAGTTCAATGTGATGAAACACGCTTGATTGATTGATTTCGAATAGCTTCTATAACACTTTTAAGGTTGAGTCTGGGTCTGATCCTGCTTACTTTAATAACTATTCAATTTGATTTTGTTGGACTTTAGTAGGTTAAGTAGTAGGTTTAAGTTTTACTCGGTCATGTATATTACCGACTTACTAATTTACCTAGTAATTTTTGTAACAATTGTTGGTTCTTATCTATTAACTGGGCTTTTGTGCCTATTGGGTAGTTTTTTGGTAAATGAATAAATATACCACGAGACATAAATGTGTTGAAATCTCTTTTGTAAGAAGCACTGTTTCTCATAGCCGATATTTTTTTCATCTCTACCACAGGTGTAGCATGAAAACAACATGCAGGAAAGCATTGGAGACTCATTACCCTTCACTTCTTCAATTTCACAATTGTAAAGGATAAATTGACTCACCATTAACGCTGCGCTTCTCGCTTTACAATTATTGTTGGCTACATACGTTTCAACGTTCCATAGAGTAAAACATTTACTGTGGCTAAGACAGAAGGAGAAATGCTCTGTTTGGGAATGGGAGCGTTCCTGGCAAATATCTGCTCTTACATGTTATATCGCGTAAACTTTTATAATACCAGCATAAAAAATTCCCAGAATTTTTGGTAAATGTAGTTTAAAGGCGAGTTTGGGTAGTTGCCTGGAAATCTTGATTGATATTGTAATTGTAATATGTATAATCTTTTTCTGTGATCTGGCGAACTGATGAAATGATGTCTTCGTCGTGGTCTTTATAATCTAGAACTTTTGACAAATTACCTAGTTTATGGTAGATAAAATATTATCGTCCAGATTTTTGACCAGTATGTACACCTACTTTGACAATGGAATCTTGGAAATGAAAAAAAAAAAAAAAAAACAAGATTTGAAAGCGAAGAAATCATAGTACGGGATACGAGGCCTATTTCATCAAATCATTTTACACCGTCTTGCATTGTTATCATCAGTTAGATAAAATGGTACTGAAACGCACTTGTGCAGGGAAATAGATGGGAGTGGGGGATTTCGCTGAAAAAAATGTTCAGAAAATGTCGTCATAAATTAGGAAAATATATAATTATACACCGTCTTGCATTTATTTATTGAGTCAGTTTGTACACAAACAAAATTGAATTACCACATGCAAGACGTTTTTATGGGGGTTTTAGGGTTGCAATAGAAGATGGAAATTGTCAATTTGTGAGAGGGGTGGAAAATCATTTTACACCACTCCATTGTTGATTTAGATTAAAGCTTGAATGTAGAATAGCTACTGGATACTGATACAAGACGTCCTGTGGAGGGATAACGGGCTGCAAGACGGATGTCAATGCGTTGTCTCATGAGGGAGTGAAAATTTATTTTACACCACTTCATGCTTATGTCCGCCGGAAGAATATATGTTAAAAAATGGTAATACATCAGTCCAAGACGTTTTTTCGGGGAAAAAAGTTAATAAATCCGTTTTCTTTTTTTACTGAACTTTTGAGTTATTTACTGAACCGTTCACTGTTCATTCTTTTCTAAATCATACAGATGGAAAAGGACAGTTGACATAGCAGCTCAACAGGGGAGTCTGCTGAATACAGGAATTACAATTTCTGTTTACAATTCCAGGCAGATCATTTTTTTGCTGCTTTAAAATCAAATTTCTCAAATTTACCTAATACCTACTTACAATCCGTTAGGTGTTATCGACATATCCACCTCAAAAAATAAATAAAATGATTATAAGCTGTCAGAAAAAGAACAATTTTCAACCTTTTTTTTTTGATGTCCGTAGAGTCATTCAAATATACATATTAAGAGAATTTTGCAAAATAGAATTATTCTACGTGGTAAAAGCAAAAATATCTAAAATTATTGTGCGTAATTTGTAATTTGGAGTAGTATTCACATTTGTACCTGATGGATTTACCCCCGTCAAAATTAGTCAACTTCATCACCGTCTTGCAGTCCTTTCTTTCCATTTAGAACGTCTTGTATTTTTTAAAATGTTATCAATGTGTTCTGTTTTTCCCATTAGTATCAGTGCAAGACGGTGTAAAATGATTTCTCACTCCTTCATAAGACAACACATTGACCTCCGTCTTGCAGTCCGTTATCCCTCCACAGGACGTCTTGCATCAGTATCCAGTGGCTATTCTACATTCAAGCTTTAATCTAAATCAATAATGAAGTGGTGTGAAATGATATTTCACCCCTCTGAAAAATTGACAATTTCTATCCAATATAACAACCCCAAAACCTCCATGAAAACGTCTTGCATGTGTTGATCCAATTTTGTTTGTGTACAAATTAACTCAATAAATAAATGCAAGACGGTGTATAATTATATATTTTCCCTGTTTATGACGACATTTTCTGGAAATTTTTTTTCAGCGAAATCTCCCACTCCCATCTATTTCCCCGTACAGGTGCGTTTCAGCATCATGTTATCTAACTGATGATAACAATGCAAGACGGTGTAAAATGATTTGATGAAATAGGCCTCGTATCCCGTACTATCATCGCGAACACACTAAAAAACCTTGTGAAATGCACCAATCAAATTCAAAAACAATCCAACGGAGGATTTTGTCCAGAGCTCAATCTTCTGGTATCATTATGTATACCTGGAATAATAATATAATAAAATGTGCTTTGTAGTAGTGCGAATGCAATTGGCTAAGTTTGGAATAGTCTGGATAATAAATAAATAATCGTGAACTTTTAGTCTGATGAAAATTATTAATTATAATCTATTATTTTAGTGGTGGAACTTCCCAGATTTGGACAATCTTATGTTGCGTACTACAAAGCCAATTTGCCGCTTCGATAATACAGTATCAACCAGTTGAATTAACGGGAAACGGAGATAATGATTGCGCATTGTTGTTAAATGGACCAGGTAGAAGTAGTCACTTTGATTACCAGTACAATTTGCTAAGAGGAAGCACCTTGTAAGTAAATACCTATATTATCTTTAAAGAATTTTTTTGCAACAAACCGGACAAATGCGCGGCTTTTTCAAGAAATAATTATGGTAGAGAGAAGTAGTGAGTTAAGGTCAAGGACGAAGTGGAATAAAACTTCCTTATTTACAAATTCGCCGACGTTTCGACCGTTTAGTTAGGTCTTTATCAAGGCTCTTTATATAACAGAAGTTTCCAAGTCAAAAGGCTTACAATACAACTCCATGATACACAACAACACGCGTTTGTCTTGTTATTGTTTGTTGTGTATCATGGAGTTGTATGGTAAGCTTTTTGACTTGGAAACTACTGTTATATAAAGAGCCTTGATTAAGACCTAACTGAAAGGTCGAAACGTCGGCAAATTTGTAAATAAGGAAGTTTTATTCCACTTCGTCCTCAACCCACTACAACTTCTCTCTACCATAATTATTATTACTTTGGAGAACACTATATTCTCACTATGTTAAGAAATAATCTTTGTGATTTAGTTTTAAATTTAATTTTCAGGGACTACAATGGACCACATACTTGTATTACATACGCAGCAGTTAATGCCGCATATTTAGATGCCAGGAAAAGAGTTCGTAAGTTAATATGCATTAGTATTCTTTTTGAGATGTAATTTGAATATTTAATTACATATCTCTTCGAAATCAGTATTTATGATTTCGACCAAACAATAATAGTAGTTAAAAGATATTGGGTATAAATACAATTTCTTATAATTTTCAGTTGTGGCTCAACCCCATGGAGATTGGAAGGCAGAAGATGTGGCGAGTGTCGGAGAGCTTCTGATGGATATCTCAATTAATTTAGCTAGAACGTAGGAGTTTTTTTTGCTCGCAAGTCGAGAATCTAAATTAGCACATAAATATTTTTGTAGATATGGTCTATCATATGAAGATATTGAGAAAGGTTTACCACTGATTGATACAAGTAAAACTTTAATTCGTGAAGTTTGCCCTCCATACTTATCCAATGTAGAATGTCGGGCAGGAAAATATAGGAGATTAGATGGACTTTGCACAAATTTGGAACATCCTACATGGGGTGCAACTAATACACCTTTTACGAGGTATGACATCTGCTTATTTTTAGTATTTAGCAATAAGAAAGATACTTCTTAACCCACCAAGACTTTCACTTCAGTCTTCAACTAAGAGCGAAAATATATTAAGATCATTTAATATGTATTTTTGAAATCCTACCTATCTAAAATTTTTATAGCGGACAGAGAAAACTTGACTCCGTTTTTAGTCGGATTTGTTGTTATAGGAAGATAAAGACCTTAAAATTTATATACTTTAAACCAGGTTTTATCCTGTTATCAAGAAAACTTTACTTATTGTCTATAGTTCGAGAGGTAGAGAGAAATAGTAGAGTAGAAAAATGAAACATTTTTTTGGGAAACGTCATGCTAAACAATATTTTTCCAACGTTCCATTCATATTACCACAAATATAGCTCCAATTTTTTCAGACTTTTGGGTCCACTTTATGCCGACGGTATGTCAGATCCCCGTATCAGTTTAACAGGCAGACATTTGCCAGGTTCGCGTATTGTCTCGCGTACCATGCACCCAGATCAAGGTTTCCATGATCATGCCGGTACTGTCATGATTATTGCCTGGGGCCAATTCATGGATCATGATTACACTTTAACTGGTACACCTTTAGGTAACAACTTCTGGTTGTTACAATATGCTTTTCTAATGTGAGGAATTTCTAGATCCTTTCAACAGAAACGACCCAGAAGAATGTTGCGGAAAACCACAACACTTGAAGCATCCGTATTGCAACGAAATTCCCATTCCAGATGACGATTATTTTTATAATCATTACAATGTACGTTGCATCAACTTTATTAGATCGTTCCCCGCAGCTCGGCCCGGATGTCGTCTAGGCTCTAAGACTCCTTTCAATACTCTTACTGGTGTATTAGATGGTAACACTGTTTATGGAGTGACTGAACACCATGGAAGAAAACTACGTGAAGGACACGCTGGTCTTTTAAGAATGAACTCAGCATTTGCGGAATATGGACTGAAAGATCTTTTGCCTTTGAAACTAGATATTCCTGATGAAGGTTGCACTAGGCCTAACGCTAGCATGTATTGTTTTGAAGCAGGTACGTTTCAATAAATATCGATATTGATGTTATAATGAGGAAAGCCCAAGGTACTTGACAAATGTTTTATGTTTTTCTTTATTTTGCCCGAAATGCCTCGGTATTAGAGTTCTAGTTATTTTGTTTTTAAGTTTACGACTTAAAACCTACTTCTTTATTCTATTTTTATGGATTGTGACTGATAAGTATAGGTAGGTATATCCTATTCACAATCCCTAGTCCAAAGGTAAAGGTGGAATTTATCAATGTTCCCTATCAAATAGCACTGAAAGGTGATACATTTTACCTTTACCTTTGGATATCGGATTGTGAATAGATAAAACCTACTATTTCCACAACATGCAAAAAAGTGATATTTTGCGTTTTGTTTCGAAAACGCAAATATCTTTTCTAATTGCCAATGGACAAAAACTTTGTTGTATAATATATAGCGACTCCAAATTATTCCTATCGTTCTTTGTTTTTTTTTTAATTGTAGGTACCATTCTCTAATAATCCAATAATCCTATCCATTTATGTAATAAAACTTGATTGTTTTACAAGAAATATCTTTGAATATAATTTTTGTAGGAGAAATCAGAGTGAATGAGCAGCTAGTTCTCACAGTAATGCATACTCTCATGGCTAGGGAACATAATAGGGTAGCAAGAGAATTAGCCTTAGTAAATCCTCACTGGGACGATGAAACTCTCTACCAAGAAGCAAGAAGAATTAATATTGCCATTATCCAGCACATAACTTATAACGAATTTCTGCCTATATTACTAGGAAAAGATGTTATGGAGAAGTTCGGAATACTTTTGCATAAAGATGTAAGATTCGATATAGAAATTCCAATATTTTTCCAAAATAAATTTTCAATAAATCTATTCTGGAAATTCCTTCACATTTTATAACAACACAGCTAATGAAATTCTATTTGTTTAGGGTTATTGGAATGGATATGACAACGACGTAAATCCCAACGTAATTGATGCATTTGCAGCTGCAGCTTACCGATTCGGTCACTCACTCTTACCCACAGCTGTAGAGAGGTGGAGTAAAGCACATAAATTTATTGGTAAGCAAAATTGTACCTATACAAATAACAAAAACAGACATTCATATGACAATAATTATTTTAAAGCCTCAAAGCGACTATCGGACCTAATTAGAAGACCCTACGACCTATATAGAGCGGGAGTCTTAGATGAATACATTATGGGTCTAATGAACCAGGTAGCTCAAGCTATGGACGATTCGATTACACAAGAAGTTACAAATCATCTCTTCAAAAAAGTAGGAGCCAGATTCGGTATGGATCTGGTCAGTTTTAATATGCAACGAGGCAGAGAGTTTGGATTGCCTGGCTATATGGAGTTCAGAAATTTCTGCGGTTTACCTGTTGGAGATACTTTTGAAGACATGTTTGGGTCTATGCCTAATGAGACTGTGGCGAAATATGCATCGATTTTCGAGTAAGAACATAATTTACGTCGTGAATATAGTATTAAAAAAGTTTTTTTTCTAGACATCCTGGAGATATAGATTTATGGTCAGGTGGTGTATGTGAACGTCCATTACCTGGAAGCATGCTAGGGCCTACATTTGCCTGTATTATAGCGACACAATTCAGTTACTCTAGAAGGGGTGACAGATTCTGGTAGGAAAAAAACACCAACCCTTGAAATTTATTCAAATAAGTAACCCCAATATTTGTTTTAGGTACGAATTGCCAAATCAACCATCTTCATTCACTTTGGAACAATTAGAAGAAATTCGTAAAGCTAGACTAGCCAGGGTAATATGCGACAATACAGATCTTATTGATACGATTCAGCTTTATCCTATGGTATTGCCAGATCACGAACTGTAAGTAGAACCAATCAAAATTTTCGACAGAACCTGAATATTGAAACTATTTTCTAGAAATCCAAGAGTACCCTGTAAAAGCCAAGTGATACCCAGTATGGACTTTTCAAAATGGGCTGAATTTCCGCACCAATCATTCTTCGATCCTTTGGGAAAAAAATAGTAAAAATAGAATATAATTGATTGCCATAGCAGAATTATTATTTATTCTTAGTGAAAAAGAAAAACTGTGCGAGTATGAATGTGAAAATTGCAAAAAGTTTATTATGAAAAGGTTTTGTGCCATAAGACTAAGCAGAAATTAACGGTTTATGTATCTCCTTGTCCCTGTCGCAAGAATCAGGAATTCCAATTTTGCGGCTTAGTTATAAGAGTCATTTCCTGCCCTACTCTATTTATTAAGCCCATATGCTTAACCTCAATTACCATTATTGCAATTTTCACATAAAAAGTGTAAATATTTAGGTTATTTAATATATTTTATCATAAATGTTGTATCATGACCATTTTCACCTATGCCTCATAAAAGTTGTTTAATTTTATATATTTTTTTTATTGCTATTTCCTATTTAAAAATAAAATTCTTACTGAATCCCGGAGTGAATATAGGCTGGATCCGGTAATTGCATCTGCGAGCCAAATGAGCAAAATTTGACAGATGTCACGTGATTTGACACGTGAAAAAAGATAAATGATAACGTGACGTCCATCAAAATATGCTCTTTTTACTCGCAGATGCAATTACCGGACCCAGCCATAGTGATATAACATAGGGATAGTTTCTACAATCCAGAAAAGTGAAAAAAGTGAACATTGTGACCAAAACAAAAAGTGAATATGGGACCATTACACAAAACCTAGAGAGTTGAAAAAAAAGTGAACACTTATCCACTGAGAAACTAAAGGTTCAGCAACCGTAGAACTATCAATATCTGTAACAGGAATAACTTCAGGCAAAGATCTTCAGGCCACCTAGTGGACCGATCTATACATGTAACAATATACTTAAAACCTCTAGAACAGGGCAAAGGTCCCACAATATTGATATGTATAACATGTAACTGACTGAATCTGTCTTTAGGACTCTGAAATTGTGACAAAGAACCTACCGTAGGTCTAATTATTTTAGACCTCTGACAACTTACACATTCTTTTATCCACCTCTTAGTATCAGATCTTAAGTTTGGCAAAGAAATAAAATTTTGTGAACTACGAATTCCAGGGAGTGATAAGGATAAGGAATGCATAATTTTGAAAATTTTATGTCGAAACTTAAATGGGATGAACGGACGAGCCTCCGTTGATACAACACAAAACAATACAACTGCCTCGTCATCTAAATAAAACTTTTCTAAAAACAAAGAAGTATTGTCGGAATTCTGAAAGAACTTTAGTTCCTGATCAGTTTCCTGTGCTTTTGCAAGTTCTAAATAGGTAATTAATATTTTCCAAACAAATCGAATTTAATTCAATGCGACTTAAAGCATCGGCAACAGCATTGTTTTTACCTGGAATATGTCTAAAGTCTGTAGTAAACTGTGGAATGAAATTTAAATGTCTAAATTCTCTAAGGGAATATTTATTTAAATTTGATTTGATGGCATAAACCAGAAACCAATGGCTTGTGATCTGTTGAAATATGAAATACCCTGCCTCCAAGTGAATAGGGGAGAGCCGCCAACAGTGGCCAGGTCCGGACAGTGGTCATTCCGTTATAATTCGGAAAAACTTTGTTAGTCAAAGGTCCCCACCACTTCACATTGCGCGTTTAGTTGTACGATTCCACCGGCAAAAGCTTGAGGCGATTAGTTCCATTTTGTATGAGCTAGAGTGAGAATGTGAAAATTCGGAGCGAAAACGTAGATTTTGAGGTAAGTTTTCAGTGCTTTCACACCTTTTGCTGAAATTATTTTCGAAAAATTATTTTTTCAATGAGAGCTGTGGTACTTTGACTCTAATTTAACGATATTTAATTTCTCAAATTGATTTGTTTTTTGCACAAAATCTACTTTTTTTATTCAACATGTGGTGTTCCCTACGGTGGCCACTACAGCGTTCCGTACAATGGCCACTCTTACCTAGTAATTATAGGAGTGGCCACTATTATTAAGATATAACAAGAAATAAATTAAATAGCCACCCACTCACCCACGGATGTGACAGCTGACAGGTTGACGCGTACGTACAGCTCGGGAGCTCAACGTTCCGAGTAGCTCCGAGCGTCACACTCCCATAGAGCCGTTTTACACGGCAACGTTTCTTCACGAAATTATTGCCGAAATATTTCGTAAGTTTACTATTCTTGTTTCGCTTGTTACCTGTTTGACACGACAAATAAAATTTAGTAAAAGTTTCGTGAAAATATTAGGGCCATATTCTCCGTAGTTCATAAAGCCTGGCTTAGTAGAAAAGCTCGGCTTTGTCACGCAAAAAGTCGAGCGTTTCCACTAAGCCAGGCTTTATGAACTACGAAGAATATTGCCCATAGTCATACGCCGGCACAGTAACGTTTTGCCATCAATAATATGAAATCATAACCTCATACGCTGGAAACCAAAACAAATAAAACTTGCGTTTTCTAATTTTTGTTGAATCTTTGTACTCTTCTGCAGTTTCATAAAGTTGAATTTCTGTTTCCCTTCCATCAATAAAGTTTTGTTCATAGAGAAATATAATAGTAGTAAACTACTAGAGAAGTAATTCCCCTGTACTTAACTGGCACAATGTCGACGTTAGCGCCTCTGGTGGCTACGGACAGCAATAAAAGAGTGAACATTGTTTAAATGCAGGTTTCTTCTTTACCGACAGTGAAAAGGCGGCTTTTTTGAATAATAGGGCAATCCAACAACCTGTCAAATTGGAATTCAAAATGGAGGCCAATGCCTTTTTATTTAAAAAAAATGCCGTTCTCTAAAAACTTTCCATCTTAGATACGAAAATTATCCTCCCAAATACTAGAAAATCATCTAAAAACACCACAAAATACACAAAAAACAGTTTTTTGATGAAAAATGTCACGGCTGCTTGAATTAAATTTACGGTGTCAATTTTTTGGCATTGACCATGCATTGATCGCCATTTTGTTTGGATTGCCCTATTAAATTATTAACTTTGATTTTATTTAAGATTTATTAAAAATAAAGTACTGTAAACACTCAAAACAGTTAATTGCAAAGCAAAACATTTGTTGAAAAAACTTGCTAAAATTTACCGAGCAACTGTTTAGAACGATAACAGATCTTATTTTTAAAAAATCCAAATCAGATGCAATGAGATTCCTTAAGGGGGTCAAGGAGGTAATTGAACAATACAAAAATTGAGATATCTTCAAACTTATTTTTTTATTCCAATTTTATAAATATACAGTAACTAAAAATGTTTGTAATATAAGCTTTGTGTTTACCTTTTTACTGCATCTCGCATCATCGCAAATTCGAAAACACACTATTATTGATGTCGGTTTTGTCTAATTAATTAATATTTATGATCGCAGAATGTTTTCTCATTTCTCTAATATAAATTATAGAAGAAATTTTAAGTTATGATGATGAGCATTCAGTTTTTGATTTATGGTCTTCGGATTCAATCATAAATTCTATTTTTTTTTTAAAGATAAAAGTCAAAATGACATTATGTTGGCAATACCAATACAATGTAAAATTGTCAATGCTTTCAAGTTTTTTATGTAGAAAAGGCTTGTGTTGCCAACACAGTTACTAAATTTTTGACTTGGGGAATTATCTTAAAAAAAAAAACAGACAATAGACGATTCAATAATTTGTTAAATTTTGACAATTTTGTATTTTGTATGTGTTAAAAAAAGATAGAACATTTTCGGGCAAGTTGCTGACAAAGACAAATTAAACCGAGTTGTCAGAAACGATCGAAGTAATTAGTTCAATAATCTACCACACCATGCGAAATACGCTACGGGTATGTGCACAAACACACTTCCAGATTGTTACATTAAACAAACGACTCTCGTAGTTTACTACTATTATATTTCTCTATGGTTTTGTTTACTTTTGGCTTTGCCCAGCTGGTCTTCTTACTCCTACCTTATTTTTTTGGGCGCAACACTTTTTTCACCGGTTGATCCACCGATAAGCAGTCTATCTTTATCTATTACATAGGAAATCCAATGACGGATTTATAAGGTCGAAGTTTCATGCATCCGTTTTCCGACGAAAGATGTCCGAAAAACGAACTATTTTGACATATTTGTATACGATTATGTCAGAATAGAAGGTTTTTCGGACATCTTTCGTCGGAAAACGGATGCATGAAACTCCGGCTTGAGGCTCGAAGAAAAGGAATGCGCTTTTTATTTTGTAATTGTGTGTGCCGAAACTCACGCATTTTCTGGGACGCGCCCACAAAAGTTTATTGGCGAAATATTTCGTGAGTTTTTCTTGTCGTGTAAAGCCTAGTACTCATAACTGCGAATTTCGCATTTTTTTGACATTGCTTCGACAATTTGACGTTTGATACATGCATAAAACGTCAAATTGTCAACGCAATGTCAAAAAAATGCGAATTTCGCAGTTATGAGTACTAAGCTTAAAGCCTAGTACTCATAACTGCGAAATTCGCATTTTTTGACATTGCGTTGACAATTTGACGTTTTATGCGTGTATCAAACGTCAAATTATCGAAGCAATGTCAAAAAAGTGCGAATTTCGCAGTTATGAGGACTAGGCTTAAAACTTTGACTTACGAAATATTTCGGCAACTTCGTGAGTAATTTCGTGAAGAAACTTTGCCGTGTAAAACGGCTCATACTGTAAAGCGGCTCAGTATGCACATTGGCGCGCTCTAGAGCACTCTGGGAGCGACACGCACTAGATTTGTACCGTTCCAGTATCATAGGTGCTTTCCAGTGACTCATTTGAGTTACTCCTGAGCAGCTCAGGAGTGCTCCACAATTGCTTTGCTCGTTCCATTGCTTTAGAGTGTCGTACACTTGAACTACTCATTTCTGTTATTCCCTGCCCCCTCGTGCACCAACCTTTATTTCGGTGTTCCATGCTCCTGAAGTGCAAAATGGTGTGGGTTAAGGGCGGGTATTATAAAACTACTTTGAAAGTTAACTCTAAGTTAACTTCTGGAATTAGGCAATTCAATCCATGTGTCAAAACGAAAAATTCAATATGGCGTGGCGGCCAGCAAATTGACGTTTTCAATTAAAAGAGATAGACGATAAGTATGAAAACATTCGTTTTCCCGCCAACATTTGCTTGCTTGTCAATGTCAATGTGTATTGGGTGTTTAGCAATTGACCTTTTTAGTCCAGGAGGTGGCGCCAAAAACATGCAAGAGTTTTCGCAAGGGGGATATTTTCAAAATAGGTCGTACTTTAGTGCTAGAATGCTAGTGTACAGTCAGCACTCACAGTTCCGGGACAGCTGGCTCTGGGACGCGGGCAAAGTTGTAATTTTAAGAAGCATTTAAACTGTTTTCTCAAAGCAAAAAATTTGTAGAAATTTTGCACATTATCTGTTTGAAGGTCACAGATAACGTATGTAAATCGTCAGACGTCT